GGGAGATGTTCCAAGCAATTGAGAAGCACACGCATACAGATCTAGCGAACGCCTCATTGAGAGATGTGATGCAGCCAGAACTGGGGAAAGAGGATAGTATGGAGAGTTTTTGGTTTGGAGAAACTCTCAAATATTTTTATTTGATCTTCAGCGAACCAGACTTGATCAGTCTGGATGAATTTGTGTTTAATACAGAGGCGCATCCGTTTAGAATACCCAGACCCTGATTGAAATATTTGAGTGTATTTCATTTATCTAGAATGACGCAGGTTAGGGAAAAAGGAATTCAAAGTTCTCGAATGTTTTAGGGTTTCTGGAAAAGTTACTGTGGAGATGTTTGCTTGCGCTGGGAATTCCCAGAAATATTAGAACCACCCGCACTTAATCAATTCACTTGCTATGCATCCTGTTATTCCGGTAACCACTTTGACGTATGATATGCATGACGGGAGGTGGTATTGTTGCTTCAGCATTCATACAGTCTCTGTGGTTCTTTCAGAGGCAGTGTCAACTATCTCCTTCTTAGAAGTAGAGACTCACTTTTGTGCTTTTCTTTGAAGTTAGGTCAATGAGACCTTCTCTGTGCTAACAAGAGTCTACCAGCATCTGAAGGTTTGAGAGCCTGACTCTGTGCTGAATTGACATCTACCTGAGTCAGTATCACTACAACATCTTCTTGAATCAAACTTACAGAAAGGCATGAGCCATTGTTCTTCACGCAGTGAAAACAGCATGAATTTGAATCTGAATGACTGCAGAAAAGTCCTTCATTCTTGAGTTGTTTAGCACATCATAGTCAGAACAAATGTAAAATACAGGACTATTTTCGTTATTTATACATACCCCAGCGTCAAGTAATCGGATAGCACTGACTAACAATAATAATGAAATCTTCTGCCAATAATGGCCGTAGGTGAAAGCTTTTGCGGTCGATAATTTAGGATGTAAATACTTTGATATTTAGTTATTCATGTAACATAAGAGCAACGACCAAAAAAAAAAAAGGGGGGGGTTGAGATTATGATATCATTTTTTATCAATCAAATTGTCGAATATATAGCAATGGGAAATGAAAATCTGCAAATAGAAAACTGAATCACAAAATAATATTAGTGAGGGAATTACGGCAGCCATTTAAACAGTAAGCGTAGGCATAATTTGATACAGCTTCCTGGTCGCCAGGGCAAAGGCGGGGAGGAATACGTGACTTGCAATGGTTAGAAGTGAGACATGGAGTCTAGACATCGTATCGGGGCGAACGGGAATACTGGAAAGATCTACATGGCATAATACGCCATTGAAAACTGACTAATTCCATATGGTTGCGGGGTCAGTAGCCGATTGATTTTCATCTCGTGAAAAGGTCCGAGAATTCCTCCAAACACCTTCGCGCCGGATGATAAGTGTGAATAACGACCAATTTCGTCCTCCTTGACTTTTTGCTACTGTTTGTGGTACTAGACACTCTTTCATGGGCAGTGCCATATTGTGTTAGCAAATTCACGTATCCAAAGGTATTACAGGAAACTAGAGATTCAGCAGCAGTTCTATGAACCTGGAGGCCAAAAACAAACTGGAACGCCGAAGCCGTAGCACAGTATTCGTCATGGAGGGGGCTCTAAACGTTCTGAACTAATAACTTCATGGCCAGCAGTGACACCATTTCCATGGCTTGTGGGGTCCTCTCCGCAAGTGTCGATTCATAATCTAGACACAGATCATCTAGCTTTATGAAGGTATCGTATTCTACAGCAAACTCCAGCTTGATAGCGAAAATCGAAGTTGGCTGGGACTGTCGCGCAGAGTATTTATTTGTGGATGTATCAGCCTACACAGCACAGATGGGAACTGGAGTTTCAAAGGGTGTTAAAATGCATCTCTCCCTTCAAGTCATTATTGCACTCCAGAGACAAGTTGAGAGTTAATTGAATGTATGATGTATCCGACGTTTGTGTGAGGTGGATTTAAGCCTCAACCATAATCGAAGGCTGGAACGCCAAGACGCTAAACATAGCTTATCTCCACCAAACCTAACTTTAAACTCACCTGAACCCAGCGAGCTGTGAAACCCCGGGCATTTATGGTTGTTCACAGCCGGGGAATCTTCCAGTTGGGCTCGGGATAGCCAACCATGGAGAAATGAGGGGATTTTCGGCCGTTGCTAGCTGGGGCGCTATATTATTTGGATGATGTTAGAGCCTTTTACGGCCAATGAGGGTTGGACTCTGGCGTCATTGGAGATTTGCAGGGAGTAACCCCAAGTTTTTCAGGTTTTGGTTGCGGCTGGCAACCCTACGGTGGCAATTTTGGCGGGCACAGGTTCTAGGGTTTAGCTATATAATACCGAGTGCTCAAGGTGTTCAATGCTTTTACAAACGTAATTTTTGGAAACTTTGTCCGATTTCCTTTCCTAAGTCTGTTTGGAATCTTGGTCTCCGAGCAACTTGGCCAACACCTGTGCCATGATGCCGAAGGGGTCGGGAAAATGGTGGATTTCAGCCATGTTGATGAGAAGAACACTCTCCAGAGAATGGATCTCCGGTTAATTCAAATTATGTCACTCCTCTTTGCCGCGTTTCTTGACAGGAGAAATATTGGGAATGCAAAGGTTGAAAAGTAGACGGAGGATCTCAACTTGGCTGGTTCTCAGTATAACTTGTGCCGTAAGGGTATCCCTTTTTTAATCTATTCTCTTTTCTTTTGGCTTTGCTTGTTCTATTCTGGGTGACAATTTGACAAAGTGCTAATCAAGTGGGTAGTACTTCTTGTAGCAGCCGTGTTCTTTTTCCCTTATGCCTTTTTCGATCTTCCCTCAAATCTCGTTTTGAGCCAGATGAGGCCGTCGATTCGGCTGCCATTGATTATGGTTGCCTGGAGTACTGTCATGAGAAATACTTCAGCACATTCCTAGGTCTGAATTTTGACATTAGGATCCAATTCGATAGTTTGACTTTGATGTGAATTGTTCAAAATTACAATGGCCTTCTAGTCACTCGGATTTTCCTTGGGCTTGCCAGTTTGTACAATTTATCCATGTTATGTGCCGCTTCCCCCTTCCATGTCTTATTTCCAAACTAAGCGAACTCGTTTCCGAAGAATCTGGCCTCTACCCAGGTGTTGCGTTCTACATTACAGAGTGGTATTGTATTGTAGACATGAAAACCAAGTCCGACAAGCTTTATTTTTCAGCGCTGCAAGTGCTGCTGGAGCCTTCTCCGGCCTGCTAGCTTTTGCAATTGCCCAAAAGTTCATTCCCTCGCGTAATGAACAATTGCATTAAAACTGTTTTTTTAAAGAAAACTATTTCTCTAGGACGGCGTTACCGCATATGCCTGCTGGCGGTGGTTTTTTATCCTAGAAGGCATCGTGACTGCCATGGTCTCTCTCTTTGATTTCTTTCTTATTCATGACTATCCGTAAACTGCTTCATTCTTAACTGAGGATGAACTATCTTGTGTTACCCATTGATTAAGATATCAGTATTCTGATACGGCCGTGAAGCTCGAAACATTCAAATAATGTCAAAGAAGCATTACTGGATTGGCAAGTGTATCTTTCACTGATTAGTATGGCAATCCAATTTCCTTATTTCCATCTATTGGCTTTTAAGGCTATGAAGAACCTAACTTCAAACTTCAACTAGCCTGGTACGGTATCGTTTGCCTGCTGCATGGTGTATCCTTTTTCTTACCTACAATTATCAAAAGGCCTGTGATACACTTCCTCGACGGCACAACTTTTGACAGTGAGATTAATTATCCCCGAACCCACTTAATGTTGAAGACAAGTTAAAGTTGTTCTCTAGATTCCGATATATTAATCGCTGTGATTATTGCAGTTGTGTCTGCGTTGTCTCCGCGTGGTTATCAGATAGGTCCGTTCAGCGCTCGCCCTAGCTTTTCTTCCATCTGCTCTGCATGGTTGTTGGCTATGTCATTGTCATTAGCGCTTTGGATAGAGGGGTTCCGGGCGTTGTATATTTTGGGACATTTGTGATTATATCCGGTGCGTCTTATCAGTCCTTTTCTCTCTTGAATATGCTGGATGTGTATATAGCTAACTGAGATTATGCTCCAGGAATATATCCTGCTCTTCCCGGAATCGTAACCTGAAAAGCAACAACATGGCTGGTGGTTTTAAACGAGCGTCTGGTATGGCGATTCAAAGTGGTATTGAAAATTTTTCAGGAGGTACGTAGCACACGCAAAGAGCGAACAGTATGGCCGGGCAATGGTGCAATTCGCAATCCCCGTTAACTATCCCATCGCCATCTATCTCACGGACACAACTAACTAGGGAAATAACAATTAGACGTCAATCCCGCTTGTTATTCCCTTACAGTTCGGCGAGGCTAGATTGAGCATTGGCTTGCAAGATTCGGGTGGATTCTGCTCGGACTTCTATAGTTACGGCAATTTGACACTAAACAGCAAAGGGGACGTAAACTCCCTAGGTGTAGCGCCGGGCATCCCTGGGCATGTTACTTCGTTCAAGGCTGAAAAATGGCGGGGCTGCTGAACCCCCAAGTTACCGGATTGGGGAAATCCTCTCTGGAATTAGAGGAGATTAATGAGCGGGTGGCTTGCATTTTTCTGCACGAAAAAATCTTCAAACCCCGTCCAGATGCTGTTTGACGGACCAAAAACAGTAACTAACTAATTAGTTAACTAGTAAGAAAGCCATAAACTACCCAGTTATCATGCCCTCCAACCCTCTGCAACTCCTCTATCAGTCCCCCTTGAAAGCGCAAACTCTCCGCCCTTTCGACAACTGCTAACAATCTCTCCTCAACACTGTAATCAACCTTACGTCGCTGTGAATCATATTTTTGCCTCCCAGCATTTTATGAAGTTAAGCCCGTTCTCAGACGCGCTGTCGTTGGCGACGAGGAACCATTATTCTCAACGAATTGTAGAAACAGTCGTTTTTGCAAGAAACAGTGCTCATCCAGCACCTGTAAGACGTTAATATTGTCGCCCCGCTGGGGAGTAGTCGCCAAAATGGAATATCCCTTCTACTCTGCTGCTCGGCAATACCCGCTGTTCTCGGTAGCGCATCCTCAGCCAACGGAAACTCCGCCGCCCAATCAATTCCAGCTCCAACTTGACCAAGTAAATCATTCTCTACTTCCAACTCTTCCGGTGTTGACTTGATCGCTTGCTGATGCTCTGATTAGGAGCACTTCGATCCTACATACCAACCGCTTGATAGCCAGTTCGCTTTCGATTCTTCTGCTCTCCTCGGAACGCCCGCGCCACCGTCATCAGATAACTATGGGAAATATCCACTCAATTCCCATATTATTGATGATAACGACAATGGCAGCAATAGCAATGGCGCTACGCAAGTTATAAGCGGACGCGAAATGCAGGAGGTTCCAGCAGACTTCAACCACCATAGCAGCAGTGAGGAGAAGGAAACATTGACACCAGCCCAAAGCAGACGAAAGGCGCAAAATAGAGCTGCGTATGCAACCATCTCTCGTTACTTATATATATATATAGGAGGCTAGCTCAGAGCGCTATATATAACCTTGGAAGTTACTGTCCATAAACTGACCTCTGTTTCATGAGACACCAGTCAACGGGCCTTTCGAGAACGAAAGGAACGACGTGTTCGCGATCTTGAGCAGGAGTTAAACGAATACAAAAGTAACTATTCTTCTCTAATGGAAGATAACGAAAGCCTAAAAAGGCAAATGGCAAAAGTTGCGATGGAAAATGAAATTCTTCGAGCTACGTCAATCAACAGTACGGGCGCAAGCGGTGGTCATGATCACGATCCGCAACCCACCACAACAGGGCCTTTAAGATATTTGCCAACCGACAATTTCTCGAGCAATGGAAAGAAGAAGGATCCAGTTCATCGCATCGCGGTTAGCAGGACAACGGGAGAAAAACTGCTAGATGTATCCGCCACGTGGGATCTGATCGTGGGCCATTTGTCGAAACAGGGCTTGAACCTGGATGTTCAGGATATATACGACAGGCTAAAAAGACATACTCAATGCGATGGACAGGGGCCGGTTATTGAGGAAGCACATGTGTTTCAGGCTATTGAGGAAAGTATCGCATCTGGGAGCGGCGAGCTGATCAAGATTTGATATATAAACTGATACTCTCGTTGACATCTTTTACCTTCGTTCTGAATGCGATTCAAGCTACATTCCGTCCTGCACTACTAGCCAATGCCGAGATATTTTTAACTCTTTGAGGCAGAATTCATGATGGAAAATATCGGACTCCCCTTCGCCTTCACCTTTAATTTATGTTGTGCATTTGGTTCACTTCTTTAACAATCCAGCAACGATTCCCTTAGCTTTGCTTCTACCTGCATATTGGAAATATACTATGCGGTTTATTTATTTATTTATTTCTTGCTCTAGTTTTATATTTTTGTTTGAGTTTTGTCACTTTAGCCTGTCTTTGGCCCATCGTCTTCTTCCGTTTTCCATCTACTTGAATTTGGCCTCTCTCTATATATTGGAGGACGTCTCTATGAATACTCTGCTTTTGAAATTTCTACATACCCCTTTCTTTATTTCACACAGGCGCGTACACTCTTTATTTATTCCGCCCGCATACCAAGGTCACACGTAACTCTTAAGTTACATCCTCCCGGGTGCCACATATACTTGGATTTACGTCAGTTAATTGTATATGTTGACACAATTGAAAAAAAACAAAAGAATGAAATCATAGCCAAATTGGATCTACTTGTCTTCCATTCCCTGACTGGATGTGTAGTTAAAACTAACAAGAATTGCCGCCTTGGATCTGATTGATACATAGGTACTTATGAACTCAAACCATAATGCACGAATCTATGTATTCTGGTGCCAGTAGCTTCCGGCCTGTGTTCAACCCTGGATTACCAGAACAGTTCCATGGAAGTAGATAGCTGCAACTTCTGATAGCCCAGGAGAATTTAATTCGAGGCAATCTTCAAGTCTTGTTGTATAGATTAATTTCCTCCAGGTTTCTGAATTGAATGAAGTGTAGGAAGGTTTATCGATTGGGGATATTAATCCGCAGCGATCAATATACAGGAAATATATAGCTGGAATGAATAAGCCCGAAGGTAATTGTTTTGAAAAATATGCCTTCAAAATTGAATCAAAATATGTAGCTTATTGTTCCCTTGCATTGCTCCATCCATCATAATAGATGTTGTAGGGGTGTAAGGGGATAGGTGTGTACCTGTAGTGTTGATGGGATTTCAATGTAGAAATCTCTTCAAATACGTCATTGAGTAGCGGCTGGTAGCCTGGCGCTTTCTTAGCATGCTCACTGTGCAGCGCCAGCACAACGCAGAAGACACCATTGTGATAAAGATCCATATCGTCTGATTGACAAAAGAAGGTATCGCGAGGACAGGACAAGAGAGACATATTTACATGATTTCCCTCTTTTTTTCTCTTTTTCCTTTTTCTTTTAATGTACATTCAATCCCAGTCATCGATATATTCGTCATCGCTGCTTGCTGGTTTGGGGGTGGTTCCTTTTCTGAGGCGGCTATCGTTTTCATCGATGGCGCCCAAGGACACAAGGACTTTTTCAAGATCTGCATGGTGTAATTTGGCCTGTCAGCTTCTCGTCCCTTCCAGGCTAAGGAAATGTTTTCGTCGAGAAACGGGAAAGTGGAGGAGAGAATTAGGACAAAAGGAAAATAGGATTGGATTTGGATTTGCGACTCAGAATTCGGACAAACAACCAAATATGGAAAAGAATTCTCTGTGAGAGGGGAAGAGGGACACTTACCCTTGAGAGTGGTTTTTAACCCCCTGAGCTCTTTAAGTGTGACTATTTGCCTTTTGATGTCGCCGTCTTTATAGGCGAGTATTGTCGGTGTGTTCCGATCGGGGTAGCCTTCTATACACATATCCGCACGCATCTCACAGAATTTTATATCTCCGTATTTCATAGCAAGTTGTCGCCACAGCTCAGTGAGAAGTTGTGACTCGATATTATTAACGGCTGAGGAGGTGAGGTTGACCATAACGAAATATTTTGAAGACGCTTCTGTCACGTCCTTTGCGTAGTCTGGTTTTTGAAGAGGATAGACCTGGTTGTGGATACCTTTTTTTTGAAGACGGGACATTTCCTCAAAGCGCTTTTTGCTGAATTAATTATCCTTAGCGACAATGCCGGTTACCAGGAAATAAATATGTAGCTATAGTCAGATATGCGAGGAGGGGTATGCGAACCGATAATTCGCAAGAAACTCCTCGTCTTCTTCGTCTTCGAGAGCATCAAGTTCATCTAGGTCTTTATTTTCAAGTCGATTTTCGTGTTCTCGCTCTGCAGCTTCCAGAATCGCTTCTTCTATAACCGGTGTTGGGGAGGGAGGTTTTTCGGGAATTATACCATGCTTGCGGAGAATGTCGTTCCTACGCAATAGTTAGCTGCCTGACTAGCAGTCAAGAGTATATAATGAGAAAACGGGAATGCAAACCATTCTGTGTCAGCATTTGGGTCATCAACAGGAACGTTAACTGGCATATCCATGGTGGGTATATATATTTTAATTGATCTGTTATTGTTTTCATGGAGTACAGTTATATTTAAATACCTGTCCATCGTTTTATACGTATGATCTTCATATTCCTACACACTAGGCCGAGGTTTCAAAGTGGTGCAAAATGTTTGCACTGTTTGCTCAGCCACAGTGGCTGGTGACCCACGCCGCACAGACCAACCCATCAGCACAGAGGCAACGTGTATCTGAAGTTTTGCACCCGGATGACATACATTCATTGGCCTCTCATCAACCGCTTGCACACTTTGACTCCAGTCTGCGATCTGCTGCTGGCGGAATACCTTATACCTCGACTGTTCTTTATGCCTTTGCAAATTATGAAGGCTCGATAGGCAACCACTCGTCACAATTCACCTCATTCGGCTCCTAATCTACTCCTGGCTTCGGGGGATTCATAGACCAACCCTCCAGTCGACTCCCCATTACCAAGATGAGTTATGTTAAGAAAGATGAGGATGCCGATCAGATAATGATGAAATTGGATAGAACATCGGTTTTTCAAGACGGTGGGTAGTTGTTTTGCGGACACACTTGGGATCTGGGCGTCGTTTTACTGATGTTGGAAATAGCCCGACTTTTCAATTCCTCTCCCATATCCCCGCGAAGATGTCGAACACTTCTTACAAAGATCGCCGTCCTCCTCTTTACGGGGGAGAAGTTCCCGACAAATGAGGCTACGACGCTGTTCTTTGGCATCTCCAAACTCTTCCAGAACAAGGATCCGTCCCTACGGCAGATGGTGTACCTAATTTTGAAGGAGTTGGCGGGTACCGCTGAGGATGTTATTATGTCTACCTCTATCATCATGAAGGATACCTCCGTTGGAAGTGATGTTCTTTATCGGGCTAATGCCATTCGAGCATTGTGCCGTATAATAGATGTATTATCCCTATCCCTCTTTATCTCCCAAGTTTTTGGCTAGTGTACTGATAATCCCAGGCTACAACTGTTCAAGCGATTGAACGGCTTATAAAAACCGCAATTGTTGATAAGACTCCTTCAGTTTCGTCAGCCGCACTTGTATCCTCATATCATCTCCTTCCCGTTGCCAGAGATGTTGTTAGAAGGTGGCAAAGCGAAACCCAGGAGGCTGCGTCCTCCGCCAAGCAGTCTACCAGTTTCCTCGGATTTACAACAAGCGGACAAGCGCACTCTATTTCACAAACGAATTACATGACTCAGTACCACGCCATTGGTCTTCTTTATCAAATGCGTGCTCATGATAGAATGGCATTGGTAAAAATGGTTCAACAGTATGGCACGGCGGGCGCTGTCAGGAGCCCCGCTGCTCTTGTGCTGCTTGTACGATTGGCTGCCAAACTAGCGGATGAGGACCAGAGCCTCCGAAAACCGATGATGCAAATGCTCGATGGCTGGCTACGACATAAACATGAAATGGTCAATTTCGAGGCTGCCAGAGCAATTTGCCATATGCGAGACGTCACAGATGCGGAGGCATCCCAGGCTGTTCATGTCCTGCAACTGTTCCTTTCATCTCCTCGCCCCGTTAGCAAGTTTGCTGCCATCAGAACTTTGCACAGCTTGGCCTCCTTCAAACCCAACGTTGTGAACCCTTGCAATCAAGATATTGAAGCCTTGATCTCCAATAGCAATAGATCGATTGCAACTTTTGCAATTACTACTCTCCTTAAAACTGGAAACGAAGCCAGTGTTGACCGTTTGATGACTCAGATTTCTGGGTTCATGGCTGACACAACCGACGAGTTTAAGATCACAATCGTTGAGGCTATCAGAACTCTTTGCCTTAAGTTTCCAAACAAGCAAGCAGGCATGCTTACTTTCCTAAGTGGTATACTGAGGGATGAAGGGGGCTATGAATTTAAGAGAAGCGTGGTTGAGAGCATGTTTGACCTCATTAAATTCGTGCCTGGAAGCAAAGAAGAAGGTAATTGACGTCCACTGTCCGTGCTGATTCGAATGATAAACTGACAGATCCTAGCACTCGCACATTTATGTGAATTCATCGAGGATTGCGAATTTACCAAGCTCGCAGTCAGAATCCTACACCTCTTGGGTGTTGAAGGACCAAAGACCTCACAACCTACGAAGTATATCCGATATATTTATAACCGAGTTGTTTTGGAAAATTCTGTAATCCGTGCGGCTGCTGTGACAGCATTAGCTAAATTTGGCGTCGGCCAAAAGGACCCAGAACTTAAGAGAAGCGTAAATGTTCTTTTGACGCGATGCTTGGATGACACGGATGACGAGGTTCGCGACCGTGCGGCTCTTAACCTACGACTGATGAAAGAAGAGGATGAAATGGCAGAGCGATTTATTAAAAACGGTAAAGAAATATGCATCAATTTTATAGTTTTTAAGCGGCATTTTATAAGCTAATTTCTTTTTAGATTCGATGTTTTCCTTGTCCACCTTTGAACACAAGCTTGTCATGTACGTGACTGCTACGGATAAAGAGACATTTGCCACAGCATTTGACCTTAACACCATACCCGTTGTATCGCAAGAGCAAGCGTTGGCTGAAGAACGAACGAAGAAACTCACGACTGCGACGCCAACCCTTAAAGCTCCATCGATGACTCCGTCAAAAGCCAAATCATCTTCTGGGGCCGAGGGGGCTGCTCTCGCTGCTACTGCGACACAGAAATATGCTGAACAGCTTGCACAAATACCAGAGCTCAAGGCATACGGAACTCTGCTCAAATCATCCGCTCCTGTTGAGCTCACCGAAAGCGAGACGGAATATGTCGTCAGCGCAATTAAGCATATATTTAAGGAGCATGTTGTCTTGCAGTACGACATCAAAAATACGCTGCCAGACACACTTCTCGAAAATGTGTCCGTTGTGGTTTCTCTTTCCGACGACGACGAATCGTTAGAAGAAGATTTCACTGTGCCAGCACCCAGGCTTCTTTCGAACGATCCTGGAATAGTATATGTTGCGTTTAAGAAACTTGGAGGCGAACATAACTTCCCTGTAACTTCATTTACAAACAACTTGAAGTTCACGAGCAAGGAAATAGACCCCACCACTGGCGAACCAGAAGAGAGTGGTTACGAGGATGAGTATCAGGTTGAAGATCTGGATCTTACTGGCAGTGACTACGTCGTCCCCGCATTTGTTGGTAGCTTCGATCATGTGTGGGAACAAACTGGCGCCAATGGTGAAGAAGCCAGTGAAACCCTCCAACTTTCCAACGTGAAAGGCATTGCTGGTAAGCTTCGTCTTCTTCATGCTATCAAGTTATATTTGCCTAATTACTTATTTCTCATACACAACAGATGCAACCGAGCAACTTATTGCAACGCTGTCACTTCAGCCACTTGAAGGCTCTGATGTCGTCCTCAACAATACCACGCACTCACTAAAACTGTACGGCAAGACTGTTTCGGGTGGCAGAGTCGCAGGATTGGTGAAAATGGCATATTCAGCTAAGTCCGGCGTGACGACCAAAATAACGATTCGCGCTGAAGAGGAAGGCATTGCTGCGACAGTAATCGCTTCTGTTGCATAGTTCAACAGCCCTCCCACGTTAATAATTTTTCCTTCTATCGGAAAATGCGGCTTGTCAGTGAGGGTTAAGGTTTTGGTAGATAATTGGCATGTTTTTATTGAGGTCTATTTCTTTTTCAGCCCAATGAAGGACAGGTGTTCGATGTTTGCTCTACCCTTGATAACCGGAGGGTTCTCAATATTTTTAAACGTTAACTGGGGGTTTTAGTGGATAAAACCCATGCATATATTGGTTCTCCACGCCCTGTTCTTCGGATTGAGTGCAACGGCTTCTTTTTCTCCTTTCCTAGTTCCACGTTTATTATCTAACTTTTATTCCTTTGTTACTTTCCCATCCCTATTATCTTCCCCACGGATTTTCTTTCTTAGCAGTAATTACGGACTTTTTTGAAAGCTAGTGCGGTACACCCCTGGTGTTGAAAATATATGGTAAACTTTTTCCCCTGATTGTCTAGTTCTATATAACCATTGTACATGTACTTTATATTCCGAAAACTCGCCAAAGTGCACATAATTTGATCGAAATTAGTCCTCCTTTTTAATCATAAATAAGGCCAAAACGCTCAAACCAGCAGATACAACAGAAATCTGAATATGCCATATGTCCGTCAGCCAAAATAATAAACTCCAACAGGAATATCCCCACTCTCGATTTCCTTTTTACTATATCCCCTCCTATTCGCATTCCACTTCAGCAACTCGTCGACTTCATCATCCGAGACCGTTCTCCGCGGGGATAAAAGGGATTCATGTATTCCAACCAGTCGAAGATTCCCCAAACCTCCTTCCAGCGCGTCAATAAAGTCCTTTTTGGAGAAGTCCAGAAACTCTTGGGATTCTTCGAAAGAGAGTATCTCTAAAGGCAGAGGCGACTGTAGCAAAGCAAGGGCGCGGAAGAAGGAAGATCGGACTAGATCTCCATGAACTGCAAGATAGTAAAGGTTAGAGATATGCCGGGCTAGAATCTCAGCGTGCTCGAGTGTATGGTGGCTTTCATAGGGGACTCTTAGCCGCCGCAAATGTTCGTGTAGATACGGATTTTCAAGTATAGCAGGTATCATCACCGGCTCTCTCAGAGCTTCCCCGGCCAATACTAGACTGGAGATTCTGGGTGGCCAGTCGAATGTGCTCATAAGAGCAGGATCTAGCCGTCCAGTGATTTCCAGCTTTCTAAGATTTGGTGGCCACGATAAGTGACTCGCTGGTGTATTTATGTTTGTGCCACGGGGGAGTCGCAGACGATGGAGATCATCCAGTCGCCGGACGGCCTTTTTGATATCTTGGAAGTCGATTTGTTTAATAACATGTATTAAATCTAGTGTGCGAAGCCTTTTACATTTAGAAATGGCGCTGAGATTAACTGTTCTATAAAAATTGATTAGGTTTTTGTAAAATAAATCTTGAAGTTGGGCGCTGAAATGGACGGGGAAAATTTGCCCCTTCAAGGAAATGCGCTGGACATTGACAGGAAGCGATCGCAGTTAAACAATCGTACAAAGGGAGTAACTATGCGGTGCTTACGAAAACCCACTGGCTGGTGCAACAAAAACCTCGACATTATCTCTGACTCTTCCTAGAAATCTCGTTGTCATGCTGGTGGAAAGATGATGCACCAGCCCGCCAAAATCCAGCCGTCGCACAAAGCGCCCGAGGTCGCCTCTTGGAGCATACGCTGCAGCTGGCGGGCAGACCGCTAAAGCAAACTTTTCAAAGTTGCTCCCCCATATATACGGCCTCTCATAGAGTAAAGGGAGTGCAGTTGAGTACCACTGTCGGGACACCAAGCAGCATGAGTAAAGCGTGTGCTGGCCGGTGGGTTGTTCTCGCAGATACGAAAGGATATGGATGATAATTTCCGCTGGAACAAATGTAGCTGTTTTGCTTGTAGATTCAGATACCATTCCGGTGGGGTGATTGTGATGTTAAGAAGAATCTCACATCCAGAGCTTGCTGGCGGCTATTTATTAACTCTCATCACGGCCAATTTGGAGGACATTTAATGGGCTAGTTATGAATTTTCGGGTTCTTGGCGGTGCCGTCGATAAGTTATTTTAACAGCCAGTATCCAGCACCAAAAATAGAACCAGCCAAATGCTCGGGTGTGAGATTTCTTGGATTAACTAGCAGCATGCTTGGGACTGGGCATATGGCTATGTCATGTCGACCGACTACGTTGTCGCATTCCTCTACCCTAACCATGCGAGTACGCTGCTTGTGCCAATTGCTAAGTCGATCGCAATTCAGCTACCAGACATCGATTATACAGAGGAAATTCAGGTCTACGGTTGCGTCCCGATCTCTAATCCCCAATTTTGCTTTCGCCTTCGAGTAAGTCTGTGGAGTCGAAGTCCGTACATCTAGTCTTTCTTCCCCGTGCCTGACGGGTGGTGGTACTAATATATAAGACCAGCATAGATGGCGTTCTTCTCCGATCATCGAGAGCGCTGCCAGGCGCGTCTGAGTCCCTCCAGCTCTTACAAAGGGAAAACATACCTTTCGTTCTCCTAACAAACGGCGGGGGAATGCATGAAACCGAGAGAACTGCCCAATTGAGCGAACACCTCCACATTCCTCTTGATACCGATATGATCATTCAAAGCCACACGCCCTTCGCAGAGTTGGTCAAAGATAATGAGGAGCAATATTCTCTTAGGGACAAATGCGTTTTGGTGGTTGGTGGGGTTGGTGGGAAGTGTCGCTCCGTTGCTCAACGGTATGCCATGGCTATTTCTTAAGTCTTTGTTTTGTTGGCGGGAGTGACTATTCTAAACGCGTATAGGTACGGGTTCAAATCAGTCGTGACTCCTGGCGACGTCTTTAGCTCTCACCCTGAGATCTGGCCGTTCTCAGATGCCTTTAACGACTTCTACAGAAGATTTACAACCCACCTTCCCAGGAAAATAGACGCGGTTGATCCGTCCAAAAGCCTTAAAATTGATGCAATACTCGTGTTCAATGACCCTAGGGACTGGGCATTGGATATTCAACTCATTATTGACATATTACTGTCATCTCAAGGGATCGTTGGAACTTACTCACCCAAAAACAATAACCCGGACCTACCAAACAGGGGTTATCAGCAAGATGGACAGCCACCGTTGTACTTTTCCAATCCCGACCTTCTATGGTCGGCCCAATATCACCGCCCAAGACTAGGTCAGGGAGGATTTAAAGCTGCGCTCGAGGGTGTATGGGCAGCTATGACTAAAGGAGCCTCTCTAGAGACGACAGTGATTGGGAAGCCTTGCGAGTTGACATACAGGTTTGCTGAGAAGAGGTTGAACCTGGGGAGGGAGAAGATGTTTGGAACTCAGGATCTGCAGCCTCTTGAGGCTGTATATATGATTGGCGACAACCCTGAGTCTGATATCCGAGGAGCCAATTCCTATGAAAGTCCCATTGGGACCAAGTGGAATTCGATCCTCGTAAAAACCGGGGTGTACTCCGACGGGAAACCTGCCTGGCCGCCCAGGATCATAGTCGACGATGTGAAGCAGGCGGTTGAATGGGGCTTAATGCAATCGCGGTGGCCCCGTAGTTGAGTTCTGCTTGTATATATTTTTTTTTTTATTACACCACCACTTTTCCCCGCTGTCCGTAACTACGTTTAGCGGTTGATTTAATTTTGTTGTGCCACTCTTTTGCTGCTTTGTAAACTTCTTGTGTAAAGCGCGCAACTAGATAATAGAAACACCGAAGGCCTTACTTCGGTGGTTAACTATACGATAGACAGTTCCGTGAAAAAAAAAACCAACAATAGATTTATCCTCACGGAGCCTTTGCTGATGTAACTATTACAAGTAATCTAATGTCTGTATTTGTTTAAATATTGTATAGCGTCTCTGTCACTAAACGCTATCGACATCAAGCATCTAACTATCTGATCGGGCTTAGTTATTTAAGGCTAATTAATTTGTGTGGGGTTGACCTCGAAGCTGTCTGACTGAACCCAAAGAAAGGGAAAAAGAAAAAGAAAAAGAAAAAAAAAAAAAAAAAACCAACCATCGCCCCGCCCGCCTCAACCACCGAATTCGCCCCTATTAGGAGTTCGAATTGCCAACTACCTTTGGCATAGCTTACAGATAAATATGGAGCAACAGTCCACTCTCCCGATTCACTCCAAGGGCGATGGAGACCAGCCAAATAAAACTCCCGGCTCCCAACCCCCCGCCGGAGAAGCCGTCCCTCCTAGCAAGAGCGCCCTCAAGAAAGCCGCCAAAGAGAAGGAAAAGGCAGAGAAGGCTGCAAAACGCGCCGCGCAGGAGAAAGCAGCAGCGCAAGTCACCCAGGCTGCAGATTTCTCGAAGCACCTTTACGGACCGATCCCAGACGGTGCAGATGTCGTCCAGATTACGAACATCGCCGACCTGTCTGAAGAACTCTTTGAGAAAGAAGTCACAGTCGTTGCGCGTGCCGACAATGCCCGCGTGCAGAGCGCGAAGCTGGCGTTCCTGATGTTGCGACAGCAGGGGAAAAAGGTACAGGCTGTGGTGAGCGCGAGTGAGGAAATCTCAAGACCGATGGTGAAATGGATTGGAGGAACGAATGTGAATTCGATCGTCCAGGTCACTGGCATCGTGAAAAAGGCGGAAATACCAGTGACGTCGGCGACATTGACTCATTTGGAACTGCATATTCGGAAAGTATATATGATTTCCCAGGCGTCGCACATGCTTCCAATGCAGGTCAAGGACGCAGAACGTCCTCCGCCTGAATCCGCCACGGATGAAGTTGATTCGGAAGGAGTTCCATGCGTTACACTGAAGACCCGCCTGGACAATCGTATTCTCGACCTTCAGACCGAAACCAGCCAGGCCATTACATGGATATCTAGCGGCGTCGCTCAACTGTTTACGGAATACATGCTTAAGAGCGGATCGCGATGGATCTCGACGCCGAAACTCACTGCAAATGCATCTGAAGGCGGCGCTGGAGTCTTCGAAGTGACGTATTTCAAGAGGAAGGCTTATTTGGCGCAAAGCCCCCAGCTGTATAAGCAAATGTGCATTGCAGGAGATATGGGAAGCGTTTTTGAGGTTGGCCCGGTGTTTAGAGCTGAGGAGAGCAACACTCACAGACATTTGACAGAGGCAAGTAGTAGTTAACCAATCCTTGCTGTCGGAAATGATGTTTGGCACATTCTAACGTGGTCCTAGTTTATTGGTCTTGATTTCGAGAAAACATTCCAAAGCCATTACCACGAAGTCTTGAGTTTTGCAGAGGACCTCCTGGTTTTCATTCTCAGCGAACTAAAGAAGCGATTCAAGAAGGAAATCGAAGTCGTCCAACGCTCGTACCCAAAAGCTGGCGACTTCAGACTCCCCAAAGACGGAAAAGCACTGCGACTGAAGTACATGGATGGTGTGGCGCTCTTAAAGGAAGCTGGCGTAGATGTCTCTGAGCAAGAGAAGTTCGAGAACGACCTCACTACCGCCATGGAAAAGCAACTTGGCCGCATTATTCGACAGAAGTATGATACAGATTTCTACGTCCTGGACAAATTCCCCATGGCTGTCAGGCCATTCTACACAAAGGCCTGCCCCCAGGATCCCACCTTTTCGAATTCATATGATTTCTTCATGAGAGGAGAAGAGATCATGTCTGGCGCACAACGAATCAACGACGCAAAGGAGCTTGAAGCTGCCATGTTTGCTAAGGGCCTCAACCCCAATGATGAAGGATTCGAAGACTACATTGGCGCGTTTAGGCAGGGATGTCCTCTTCATGCTGGTGGAGGACTTGGCCTGAATCGCATTGTCATGTTCTTCCTAGGTCTTCCTAATATTCGATTAGCAACACTGTTCCCTCGCGATCCACAGCGACTGCGTCCATGATCCCACAAATGTCTCTCAGTAGTGACCAATGTTGAAATTGTAGTTAGCTAGAATTTAAAAATTTTTTAAATAAATTTAAATAAAGAGCCAACAATTCTTTCCTTCATTTTTGTATTATGACAGATTTCAAATATCGTAACCCCCTAAAGAAGTACACTGCTTTATATTTACTTCATACGTAAAAATGATCTCCGCATCTTTTGTTGTGCCGTGCGCCTCGAACTTCGCGGAGTTGGTCTTGTGGGCCCAAGCTCCATTCTGATTAAAATATCTAGCCAAATGAACAATCACTTGTCACATTTATTCGCCCACAAGATGTGAGTGAAAATGTTCTAACTGCACACAGAATAATCCGTCTCGGAATACATGGGCAGTATGTCTGAGAAGCGAAAGGTCCCCTCCTCAGAATTGAGCGTATCTCCATGCACCAAAAAGCCCCGGTCTACGGGACCCAACGAGGAGGATGAAGCGCCGTCGCTGCTCACCCTGATAACGCCAACCACAGCTCGTCCGCAACCCAAAAGTGACCCTATTTACGGGCAGAAATACGCTTTTCCTGGTCTGGACGATCCCATAGACGAAGACCGTTTATTATATGGCCCTCCAGAGGACGGGATCGAGTACCTCTGCATGGTCCGGTAAGCACCCAAGTTTTCTCCATTTTATGCTTCTGCTTGTCATCCATCCCATCTCCAAAAGCACCCGGAACTGCGACAGTATTTACACCGTACCTTTGTTCGCCTATCTCCCTACTATTCCCTATACAACTAGTGATGCTAACATTTATTTCTCGCCATACGTTCTGCGCGGTGTAACGTTATGACCCAGATCTGAAGCAAGAACACTACCCTCTATATTCGTCTCAGGCACCGTCCTTTCAGAAAAGTATAACACAAACGATCAAAAGAATGACCCTGGAAATACCACCAACTCAGGGGTTGGAATTAGCCTAACTGGTTTCTACTCCGATGGGGCCTACTTCGCTTCTCCCTCCCAACCACCGCAAACCACCATCCCAGACAACGACATCCCTGACGCAAGCAATGTCGATGCCCAAGAAATATACTATAACCTCCTCCATCATCGCTTTCTCCTCCTCCGCTCAACCCTCAACTGCACTCCTCCAGCCTCCGTAATTGCCTCGTTGGGCGCGGAGCGCCCCATTTCCCTCCCCCGATATAATAAGCGTGCCAGGGTAGAATGGGAACAAATTCTACAGACTATGGATCCGCACATGGCACAGTTGGCATGCATGGATATGGAAAGTGTTTTGGGCCTGTTAGCAATTGTTGCACGCTCGCTATCTACGGCAGTTAGGAGCGGCGAGAGTGCAAGGGTGAAAAGGTTGGGTGCGTGGGCGTGGGGGCTTTTGGGCCGCTGCAGGGCTGTAGGGGAGTTGGGGAGTGAGGCGGTGAGCGATATCAGGGAGCTGGGGAAGAGGGCGGCAAAGATTTTAATGAAAGTTCGAGAGAGTGAGGAGGTGGTGCTTGAAAGTGTGGGGGATATGGACGACTTGAGGGATGAATTTGACATGAAAGATGAGGAAGGGGGAGAGGAAGAGGACGAAGGCGCTGAAGAATATAGAAAGGTATTTGGGTGCGAGGAAGGTGGTAAAGGTCATGGGGATGAGGATGGAATAGATGAAGATGGGCCTGGTATTGTGAAAAGCAGTATTTTGAAAAACGATGTGAATACCTACGGAAATAGTTTTGGCCCGATGATTTCCCAAGAAAAAGCGACAGAAACCGTTATTTCTCCCACGGGAAATAGCGACATCCAAGACGAACTCGACGCAGCTAAAGCACGTCTCCAAGCACGACTACAATTCCAAGAACCATCCGATTCCATGGAACCTAGGGGTGACGAGGTCGAATTAGAAGAGAACCATGATGGAGAAGGGGGAGAAGGGGAAGAAGGGGAATTGGACGACATCTATGGAGACGACCAATGTGATGGTGATGATTCTGCCGTTGCTCATCGATATACTCGTGCCATGCTTGATATGATGATTACCGTCGTTGGAGAATTTTACGGCCAGAAAGACCTGCTTGAATTTCGGGATATATGGGAGAAAGATATGAATTTGGCCTGGTAGGTAGCCAGATAGATTAAATTGACCCTTGGAAGAGAACTTATTGTCAGTGTTAGATGTATGTACATTTATGTAGGATACCTTGGAATGCCTCGTTTCTTTCAGTATATAAGCTCCCAAATGAGGAGCTCACAGGTGCATTTTGATAACATGAATATGTCGCATCTCAGATCTATGAGACGGAATGAAACGAGACAAACGAGGCATTATGGAGTTTATAATGTGACAATACCAAAGGCGTCTGAACATGCAAATCTATCACTATCATTAACGGACTGGAAGCCGGCGGCTATAGAATAAAAGCAAGGCTAGAAATCCAGGACTTCACCAAGCCGGACGAATTGATGAGTTACAACTCTTCCCTGCGCTCTATGTTCCATCGAATCCTAGTCAAGTTTCAATGTCGCTTTCGCATGAACATCCTCCCAAAAACACAAAAGTTTCCCCTTAGCTCCTCACATTATTTTAACCTATATCTTTATCTTGCAATCATTCCTTATCATCTGTGCGGTTAGGTCATCCTGCACCCAACCCTCAATGCGCGCAGCCACATCTCCTACTAGCCGATCGTAGCCGGCATTTCGAGAAACAAATAGGGACTGGTGGGCAGTAACTTCATCCACTCCCTCCATATAAACCCGCACCCACAATGGGTCTCGCTCACCATTGGTCTCTCTTGGAGGTAGAGCACAGAATTTCCGATCTTTCTTGACTTTGGGGTGCGCGTTTGTATTAATGGGAGGGGTGCTGCAGGGGGATTCAATGTCATCAATGCTGTTTGGCGCTCCACTCGCAGGTGATAGGTTGTCTATATGGCTTGCTGGGGAAGAGGGGAGGGATGGTGATAATAGAGGGAGTAATGGTTCTGGAACCGCGTGAGGTGATGGGGTATTCGCGGTCTCTTTGGCTTGTTTCAGTCGTTCCTTTTCTGCAGCTCGTTCCTGTTTGCTGACTAGTTTATTATAAGCTTTTACTTTTTTCTCCTTGTCTTTCAATGCCCTTTCGTAGACTTTCACTTGACAAAAATGCTCTTTCTTAGCTTCTTTTAGGTGCTCCTTTGAATCGTATAATGAAGGGTTGAATTCTGGTGGTTGGTAGAGGGGAGGTGAGATATCCGGAGATACAGCTTCAAAGGGAGTAGTAGTATTGGGGTTTTCTGGTGAGCTATTGGCAGGTTTTACCATCAATATGGGAACCCCAGCGGTGCTTCCTTTGCCATTTTCTACTTGGACAGCGGAAACCATATCTCCAACCTGCTCTTCGTTTTGCCTTTTAGGGTCCACGGATAATGACCTTACGTGGCCTGGCCCAGGGGAAGATGTGGTGCCTGAACTTGTCGGTTGCCCATCAACCAAGTTTCGGTTCAACGCTCCCTCACCACTGCCTCTAACAGGAGATTTGATTCTTCCAGTGGCTGCAGTATAGTAGTTAACAAATCGAATGCGGCGGAATAGTCGACCGCTCCCATCCTGCATTTGACTATACTCGTCAATGTCTTCTAATTCCCTCAAACGCTTGTATCGCCGTTTCAGCCCCGGGTAATCAGCAATGCAAAAACCAAACTCCACATGCGAAGAAATATATCTTTTTGTGGCATCTACAAGGTGGTTGGAGTTTTTAAATATAAAATTCAAAGCTCCATCTAGTTGCGAGCGTTCCGTGAGCCGGATGTCATTTGGAAATGCAGGGTCGAAATGGGGATCGACTGGGGAGGAAAACAGAGGTGCAAGGATTGAGGAATCAACAGGAAAAGGCTGATTCTGCGGATCATCCTTTTTGTCCTTTTTAGGTCTAAACAGACTGCCAATACCAGTGGTGAAGACACCGCGATGCAGACCTAGGAACGGAACATCCAAATTGATAGTTCCCATGATTCGATGTTTAAACATCTCGGGGTTCAGCGGCTCTGACGGTCCAAGGAGGGTAACCTCCGCTGCAAGAATACCACCCAAGCTGTGCCCTACGAGCACGACATCTGTTTCAGGGGATTCGTGAGGTGACAGCCTACCAACACACTCATACCGTACATCAGTGTCATATCGAATTATCAAGAAGGAATTGTTGCAGGCTGGGACACTCACCAGTGACTGAAATCGTCTCTGACAAACTCGATGACTTTTCTAGTCTTGTATCTGGGATAAATCTTGGAATGAACAACGTGAGATTCAGACAACATGACAGCAAGCAAGTTATGAACGTGCGCAGGAAATTTCTGGAAGCTGGTATCCGACCCCACAAAGCCGTGAATGTAGATAAGCAATAATGTCCTTCGTCCATCTCGATTTGAGTCAACGGGGAGAAGCGACTGCATAGACGGAGAACGCTGATCTTCTCTACTCCGAGATTGTGTCCGTGGCCGCCCTCTTGTACCAGTTTGGGCACCATCATCATTATCATCATAGAGCAGGGGTGCGGAGTAGGGAGTCAAATGAATGGTGTCCTTCCTTGGCAGTCCAGACGAATGGATGTCGATATCCAGCGAGCCGCCAGGTGAAGCTGGCCTCTGTTGATTTTCCTCAGACATCTTTGCGGTAATGAAACGGTCTATTGTGTGAGCAATTCAACGTACAACCCATGAGCTCAGCAGACAGACACACTTTATATATGCGAAGACGGGCTGGTAGCTCCAAGACGGCAGAGGATCGGAACGCCACAACCTGTAAAAGTGATGCTTGGCCTCATTAACACCGGCATAGGAGCATCAGTATGAAGAAGACAGAATGCATTCATGTAGTTCTGAGCTGTATAGTTAATTGGTGATAATTTGTGTCTGTTGGTGGGTTGTTTTGATGAACAGTTCTGCTTTAACTAGGGGAAGCGGGGATTCGCCGCGGTAAATAAACAGACGCTCATATCGGCAGGTAACCACCATGACGTCGCATCTGCATGCAAACGGGTGTATCGATACCTATGGGTGTCTTAGTAAATTCAATCTCCGTCTCGAAGATTTTTTTTTTTTTTTTTTTTTTTTTTAAATAAAAAACTATTTAGAAGTTCTGCCAAAGTTGTTTGTCGCCTAAAATAATTAACTTTACTGGCTGCAACCTACATTTTGGACAAAACTAAAAGTTTATCCCTGCATCCGTCATTGGCTTTCCAAATATTTATTCATCAACTCAATCAAAACTCATCAACCAGCATCACCAACCTCCCGTGGAACCACGCCCAGCTGACCATCATACAGACAAGATATAAAACCACGTTCCTTTCCAAGATTTGATGAGCATGAATTTAGTTTAGCCGTGCACACTCGCTTTCCTCGTCCTCCCATTTTGCTCTTTCACCGTAACCATGGCTCCCCCCGTCGACATCTCCATTCCAACAACCATCCTCTCCACCACTCCGAGTCCCTACACCCTTTACAATATCTCCATCAGACTCCCTCTCCGCACCTTCACCATCCAGAAACGCTACTCAGATTTCGTCGCCTTTAACTCCTCGCTAACAAGCCAAGTGACCGCTCCTCCGCCCGTCCCTTTGCCCGGAAAATCTTGGTTTGTAAACACAAACTCCAACCCGACATATCGAGAGAAGCGCAGAGAGGGCCTTGAAGAGTATCTGCGCGCCATCAACGACGCTGAAAATCCACAGTGGCGTAACTCAAACGCGTGGCGCACGTTCTTGAATCTGCCCAGTGCTACTCTAAGCAATGGTTCCTCCCGCGCGTTATCAGATTTGCATGCTGTTGCCACAACTCCCGGTGCGTGTGGTAATGCAGCCCCTATCACAGACCCAACAACGTGGCTAGATTGCTATCGAGATGTCAAGTCACACCTGCACGATGCCAGGCTTCACCTGACACGACGCGACCAGAGCTCTACTCCACAGAAACAACATGAGAGCTCTGCGCAGGCGAAAAGCAGTCTTGTTCGGGCGGGGGTGTTGCTAACGGGCCTAGATGAAGGATTGAAGAATCTAGGCGATAAATCTGCATGGGACGGAAATAAACTTGGCAGCGGTGAGCTTAGGAGAAGAAAGGACCTGCTGGCTAGTGCCCGGAAGGAAAAGGATGGGTTGGAAAGCTTGCTAAACGCCATGATGACCAAGTCTAAGTTGGATAGTGCTGTGGCCTCCGTTCAGGATAAGGAAGCGCTTGTTGGAGCTTCAAGACCTAGGCCGGGCCGGGTGTTGGGCAAGGAGACGGATCAGACGAGAGAGTTGGATAATCAGGGCGTTTTGCAGTTGCAGAAGCAGATCATGGAGAATCAAGATCTTAGTTTGGAGGATCTACGCAAGGTCATTGCAAGACAGAAGGAGTTGGGGATTGCGATCAATAATGAGTTAGAGATCCAGAATGAGATGCTTAGTATGGTGGATGAGGATGTTGAGAGGTTAGTGTTCGATTTTCCTTAGCATTAACTTCATATAATGTTGTCGTTCGTGATAGGGGAGTTTTGCTAACAATTAATACCTACAGAATTAACCGCAAGGTCCAAATTGGGAAAAAGAGAATAGGAAATATATCCTAAGATTCAATATATCCTATGATTTTTTCTTTTTTTTAGTTGCGGGTCTTCCCCTCTTCGTACATTTCAGGTTTTACCCTTTTTTGCATTTATTTATTTGAGCGTGGTGTCAATTTAGCGAGCACATTTACACAGAGAAATACATAGTGTTGATTTTGAATGATGGCCTGGCCTTTTCCGCTGGAGTTTTGTTGGTTATATATACGGGCTTGATAATGTGAATAATCCAATTTCATTAGACTAAGACAAGGAATCTACCCTGATAATCAATCATCCATTAAGGAGGCGTGTATGGATACGGATTCGCTCACAATGTCGAGCACTCCAAAACCATGGCAGGAGTATTCTCACCGAAACTAGGATACTCATTTTGCGGATAAAAACTGTCAAGATGTTAGAATGTCCCACATGGTTGTCCGGAATGTGAAATTTGATATGGGAAACAGTGACTTACATTCCTAGCTTCTTCCACCGTCACTTCAGAGACTTCAGAGAGATTCTTATCAATCAACCCCAGTCTATTCTTCCTCACATACCACCACATCTCGCGCCTATCTCCACCGAGTTCACCCCCAAGCAGTTTCGCCTTCAAGCTACGGATGAAATCGTTATATAGACCAGGCTCCTCAAAGGAAACCAGCTCTTCTTTCATGGTGCCCAAGCCTTCCACGGCCCGATCATAGTTGGCATCACCCAAGCTATGCTTTATTTGGTTTTCTATGATGGTGGACATCTGCTTAACGGCATCCTTGACTGTATCAAGGTTCTGAGAATTCGCCAGGGACTGCTTGAATTCGGGTATGGCGTTGTCCGGGGATATCCTCACACGTTTCTCCGTCTGGAGAAGCTCTTCGACGTTTAAGCCTGAAAGCGGCTTTTCTGTGTCTCGGGCTCGTTTGCGGCCTTTGGCTTTGGGTGGTACTTTGAGAAGAAAAGGTTAGATGTGCAAGCTAAAGAGACAGGGCTTAGAGAATAGGATACCCTTCTTAACATCAGAAGCTTCTACGAGCTTATTTAATTCTTTCTTGCTTTGAGCTTGTAGCTCCTCTGGCTGACGGGATAACCTCTGAAGGGCTTCAGGAACCGGAGGAAGGGGATCGGAGGGGTGGACCGCACGCCATCGGATAGCCTGGTCGATACGATGTAGGAGGGGCGAAAATGAGTCTTCAATAGACAAAGACTCTACAATTTCTCTGTATAGAAAATAAGCTCCGTAAACAGATGAACAGGAATCGAGCAACTTACCCATCTTCATCCTTTTCAGTAAGCTCCATTTTATCAACATAGTCGGCCATTCTTGAGAGAAGATTGACGCTCGGGAGATTCCGGTGTTCAGTCACCGTCTTCCCCGAGACAGTGACCACCTCATCCAACGGGGGGAAGCGATATGGGCGCACATCTTCTGCAAAGGGTAGCTGTAGCTCAAGGAGACATTCGTAATTAGGCTCAATTGAAGGAGCAAGGAGAACGACTAGTGGAGCTTTGCCAGCCTTAGAAACCAGTCGTGCAACAGCGTAACATTCAAGCTCGAATAATGCATGGATTATCGATGAAAGTGCAAGTATTGCTTTATTATTAGTCTTTTGCGCGATGATAATATTTGAAGTCGACATATTCATGTAGCGCTCATACTGGTTTTATGAATTAGCAAATTGGAATTGCAGTTCGACATCAAAAGACCAACATACGTTGTCGCTGGCGATGAATCCAATAAATTCTAATGCAGCATCTGTTTCCAATTTGGTGATATTTTCATCTGACTCCGTGATGTGTACGGCAGTGCGTCCATACTCGTATCCCTTAGCGAGCTCGTCTCGCTCCAGGTCTCGTTTCCCCCCAGCAGCCTCTTTGTCATCAACCTGATACGTTCGAGCATTCCTCACAGAAGTTAACGAAGCAGGCCCCGTTCCTGATTCCTGGCTCCATGCCCCGCCCCCCAGAGTAGCCGATGATTGAGTAGTCTGGTGTGCTTCTGAAAGAACAGAAGAGGGAACAAATGAACTTGCAGCTGGTGGGCGAGCAGCATACGTTCGGTAGTATCTTTCTACCTGGATAGTTAAGGCAGATGAATATTGCTCCGGATCTCCAAGCCTTAAATCACCTTTGAAAGTAGGCATCGACCTAACAACTTTGGTTCGAGGTATCTCCACCTCCGATATTGCATGTTCCAGAGTACCGTAACTACCCTCGCAATCCTCCACGAGCTGCTTAAGATGCTTCTCATTCTCGGCCTGGCTAGGTGGTCACTATCGCTATTCTTGTACAACTGCATGACAAAACTTACCTTCAATGGATCCTTATCTTCTTCTTTGAACCCATACTCCGGGTCATCAAAATCTACTCCTCTGGTTCGGGTTAGATATAGTTCTGGAGCCTAACTGAAAACACCTAACTGACAGTACGACAAGTTCAATATTTTCTTCGTTTATTTTGCTCACAATTCCCTCCATCCCATCCGTATCCATAGCACCTGTTCCATCCGTAACAAGGACGATTTTCCTTCTGTATTTCAATTTCTTGCAGTATCGTACAATCATATCAATCGCCAAGATAAGGGATGATATTGCTATCACGTTGTGAGCCGCAAATCAAGCACAAAAATATAAAAGTCAGATCAGTTATACATACCGTCTCCTTCAGTGGTATTGCTGATTTTGATCGCTTTACGCAGTTCGCGGATTTGAGGCATATGAATCCTAATGATCCGCTCATCAGCATTGAAATGGAATTGAGATGGAAGGTCAAATTGTCAACACACTGGCTTATGTCTTGAAAAACGGTCAAATTGGCATAGCTTTCCTCTTCCTCTTTCTCCCATAATGGATTGTCAGAGCCTAATGCAAGTGGTCAGTCAAATACAGTACGGAGTGGAGGATGGTAGAAGAACCGCTCACGATCTGTTTTGAGACCAATTACTCCAAGATTCGCGGTTTTCCTGCCAGTGGCAACCTAGAAACGTTCCTTGAGTAAGATCCGATGTAGGCAATTATCAATTATAAATACCGTGGTTGTGATCTTATCCCAGACATAGCGCATCGCCCACTCGAGGTCTGATATAGATCTACCATGGTGACAATCGGCCATAGATTTTCCGACATCCACAATATACACAGTGGCTTCCTTGTCCGCCATCTTTCTTCTTAGTGCTGCACTTGGACATGGAAAGATGAAGAGGAAGAAGGGGAGGAGAAATTGATCATAAGCTGAACTTCCACCATCGTGAAAGAGATATATGTAAAGAAACTGGCAAAAGATGGATCGTTTTCTTTCCAGGCTGACACACGCCACAGCCGCGGGGTCACGTGTTACAATTAATCTGATCTGTTGTGCGTGGGTTTAAACTAGTGGTCAAAGATGTGGAGATAATTCCATCGTGTTCACACGTCGCTGTGGTCCGTGTCCATAACGCCTGACGACGACGGCACTCCAACTTCAATGCGCTGAGATGTGGAAAGCAAGCCGGCTGTGTGTCTACATACGTCTCCTCCAACCTTGAAACGGAGAAAATCTTGTTATTCGTACTTTTCCATTAGCTTTACTGCAGGAGTATCAGCTACTTATAGCTACTTATAGTTAACTAGTCATACGAAAACACGGATCCAAATCCATTGCCTACAATGGCCGTATCGCTTCTTGCGCCATTCCATATTATCAGGTTCGCATTATTCTGTTTACCTCGTAGATTTACCGAGAGAACCATCACTCATACCCCGTGAATTAGCTATGGCACGCTGCTTGGTGCCCAGGCCTATCAGGTTCGTTTGCAATTCGTCGCATGATATGTTCTGGAAGTTGATGCTGAGGTTTTGGAGACTTTCGTTGGTGGTATCATCGCATTCAGAACCCTGCCGCGCCCTCAGTTCTCTGCTCTCCAAGAGTCGATATTTCCCGTTTACTTCTCCTTACAAACTGCACTGCCGTTGGTCATGGCTATTACATACCCAGGAGAAAGGATATTTATGGGACGGGGTCCATCAAGCCTATTCGGACTGCTTGCTGAGAGCCCGCGTATCACGACTCTGCTTCCAATCGTTACCATGTTCCTGACTGGCTTGACAAATGTGTTGGTCGTAGGACCGATGACCGTTAAGGTCATGAAGCAAAGAAAGCATCAAGGTCCGTTTATAATTTTGTTTTGCCCAGCTTCCAATCTAGGGGATGTACGGCTGATATTGCTTTCAGAGACGATTGATGGAAAGAAAAGCTACGACCCACATCCCCATTCCAAGGAGATGATTCGCCTAAATAAATCCTTTTCTCGGTTTCACGGAATCTCTTCCATGATTAACCTTCTAGGGCTCATCTCTACAGTATGGTATGGGGTCGTTCTTGCAAATCGCCTTGACTAAACAACGATGTTGAGTCTTCCGCCAATGAATTACACTATTCGACACTGTATCTAGCTCTAACCCTCCTCTCTTCAACATGTTTTCTGCTGGTGATATGGCCGTAATACCGATTGCCCGGTTCATGATTGCCTATTAAACGACTTTTGCCACTTTCAATGGATATGTTAAGCCCGGATATCTGATTTTGTCCATGCCTGCTCTTTTCCATCAATAACTATGATACGACGGCGATATTAAGGGTTTGCTGTTTTGCTGATAATCGCGATAATTTATTTCATTCCTAATTGGCATCACTATCCTGTTTACATTTTACCCCTTTGCATTTGCATTTGCAGTGGCCCCGAATTTCAGGACCTTCTCACTCGATCTCCCAAATGCCCTTTTGCAATATCTACGTCTTCCAGTCTGCAGAAAATCAATTACTTCTCTTATATGTTTGTCTATGCAGTTCCTTGTTTGCATTCTTTATATGCAACGGGTAAAGTGAATAGGATACAAAGATGCTAACATCTAATCAGTGTGCACAGATTTATTTACCATGACCTAGCTTCGACTGATTGCAAATGCCACTCCATTGTTGTCTTCATTTCATGTATTCCATTTCATTGTCTGTTCATGTGTCAACAAAATTATCTTTCAGCATGTTCAATAATAGCTATCATTGCTATAATCAACAAAATCCCATTCTCATTATTTCATACCGAACTTCTTCTATTCACTATCTTTCTCTTGGGGATATCTAATGTAGAGTGTGCCATTCTACTCTCTATGTCTAGTTGTTAGCTGTTTTTCCTTTGAATTTTGCTATCTCCCTATATTTCTCGCCTGCATTTCCAGTCCTTTGTCTACTCTTGCCAACCTCATCCAATCCATCTTGTCTCACCCCCGCTAAATTTGCACCACGAGACTGCTCCTAGACTCATTACAATCTAGGGTGCTTCCCGCTTCACTACTCTGCTTGGACTAGATCCCAGTCCTATAATTTCTCAACGACCGACAATATTTGCTTGTTCGAAGCTTCCTACACTCTCGCAAACTTTTCCTTTCTAGTTACCTCGGACACGTATCTAAAATCCCTCTAAACTACCTACATACGATCGTCGACATACGGTATATACCTACACTATTTATCTACTTTACCACTGTCCCACGATGGATTTAGTCAGATTAGTTGTGTTTTCCCTCTCTCTGCTGCTCTGTTTTGGGCCTTCCAAGGAGTTCCATTCACTGAAACCGGGCCACAAAATGATTTTCCAAGACGCATGTGGGGTGGAATAAATTCTGGATATATTTTGGGAAAATTGGTTGAAATAATTAACAGGCTCTTCCGACAGGCAAAATTGCTACACCCACGACAACCCCTAGGTCTCCCTTCGCCCACAGTTCCACCAAATGACAGCTCGCCAGCTGCGCCAGTGCCGGTTAGCTTTGTACCAATTGCTAGTCTTGCATTAGTTACAGGCGATATGTGCAGACACCACGGCAAGTCTGATAATAATGCAAATGTCTGTTCGCTCACAAAACTTTAACTGAGATCCGTGGATTTACGCAAGCTCAAAATCCAGGATGGTTCTCACGGCTGTTGGAGATACTCATATATGAAAGTAATTTCCCGTCCCAAAATTAGTATGCTATCGCTATGTACAAGCTCTCAACTTTCTTTCCCTGCGGCTGCAGGATGTAGCAGAGGGTAAATACCCTTCTTGGCAAAATGGACGGCTTCAGCTTTCATAAGTTCAGCTCTCAGATCGCGCTTTTATCCGCGTCGCCACCTTGACCGGGTTTTCTTTTTGGATAGGGATGTTAAAGATGTTGGAGGGGTCCGGAGGGCGAGAAGTGCGAGAGGTCCATACCAGGACTTCAGGAGTGTATGCGCAGGGAGGAGACGTTGGTGATAAGCAGGCCCTCTCAGTGCCTCTTCTCCGCGCACCTATTTTAAACGTGAGCTTCTCGTGCTTATGAAATTGTCGCTGGAAGCAACTTACGGGGTAGAAGGTTGGTCTACGGGCGAGAGTTAATGATTAAGAGATCCGCTTAAACGTGAAAGTTATTCATACCTGTTGTCATTTTGGGCCTATGACAACAGTGAAACTAAATAAAGTAATACGACATGCAACAAACTTTAGAAGATTCTCTTGAAGTGTTCTGTGCATGGGATCCGAAAGTTGTGTGCGCAACCAAGGAAGAATGACTCTTTTGACTGTTAGATGTAGTTGTGCTAAGCCAGTTAGTTAACTAAGAAAAACTGCTTAGTCATATTCTTCCACATCGCTTCTACTTAAGAATCTCGATTCTTTGAAGCTTTTGTCGGAGCATTTAAATTTAGAGAAAGTGTCAATCCTTCGTCGATGCCAGAGCAACTTTTTTATACCCATGAAATATTGGATAGAAGTGTCTGAGTATGTTGAAGGAAGCTGATATCTCAGCCAATGAACGCGCATTTATTTTGGACGCCCTCCATAAAAATATTCGCCTTGATGGCCGTGCTTTGGATCAGCTCCGCCCGCTCATGGTGTCGTTCGGGAACGAATGTGGACATGTGAAGCTCCAATTGGGCAAAACTAGGTTCGTTCAATTGCACAGGTTTTGCTGGGTGTTCTGTTTCTTTTCTTCAGAGTTGTCTCTGAAGAATGTACTTAAAATACCATAACTGACAACTTGCTAGCGTTGTCGTGCGCATATCTGCAGAGGTGACAAAACCCCACCCTGAGCGGGAGAACGATGGAATTTTTACAGTTGTGGTGGAACTTAATGATATGACTTCACCTGCTTTTAAGACGGGGTGGTACGTCTATTTGGTCTATTTGCCTATTAACAGGGTATGTTTTACCTGTTTGTGATATCAGTCCTAACCATTTGCGTTGCAGGCAATCAGAGATGGAAACACAACTCGCCCGTATCCTTGACAGGATAATTCGGCGATCCAATGCACTCGATACAGAATCACTGTGCATAGCTGCTGGCAAAAATTGCTGGCATATTCGGGCAGATGTACATGTCATTGACTCTGACGGGGGCCTGGTGGATAGCTGTTGTCTTGCCATCATGACAGCCCTGCTCCATTTCCGTCTCTCGGAAGCGATTGTTCGTGAAGGACGGGTAATTGTCTTCAGCCCAGAGGAAAGGGTCCCGTCACCTCTGAATCTCACCAAACTCCCACTCTCTACTACGTTCAACATATACGATGAGGGTAGAATCATTGTATTAGATGCGGTGTCGAAAGAGGAAGCGGTCAGTGATGGTAACCTCATCATTGCTCTCAATAAGACCGGGGAGCTTGCTCTCTATATAAAATCTGACGGAACACCTGCAGATCCTCTAAGCATGATTTCATGCTCAAATGTGGCGCTGGCCAAGGTAAATGAGATGAGCAAGTTCATATCCACGAAACTGGAGGAGGATTCGAAAATACGAGAACAGAAACGCCAGGGTGTGGCCGAATCAAGCGCCGCTAATAAAAGGCAATTATGACATTTGATATCTTAATTTTTTTTTTTTTTTTTTTTTTGTGGGCAGTGTCCCCGCCGTTCATTAACTCTATGTCCACGGATCTGCCAAGCTTCTCGGCATTTACGACACGCAGGCTTGGAGCCTTAGGAGGTTCGCTTTGGCATTGAAGACACGGGATTATTACCAGATAACCAGACAAGACGACTAGTAGTTCACGTTAGCAAGCCCCGAAGAAGGGAGTACGATCCCTTGGATATAAAATCAATTAAGTGAAAATAAGATTTTCTCTTTGTCCGGTCTCTGCCACCCTCGTTAGTCAGCTGTCCTTGAACATTTGAAGTATTTCTGAAACAAAACCTAACGGGTCATCTAATGTCCCGTGGAGACAAACTGAACCCGTCCACTTCTGAACCAAATACAAAACCCGCTACGAAACCAGACAAATAAAACATCAGCCTTTGGGATCCTGCCTACCAAGAATCAGAAAGTTCACCCCCAACTGACAAGACGGGCGGCAAGAAGTAGAAGTTTATAAAATGAGTTCTCGTTGCCCCTTATGGGATCCAAGTTTATATTCGAGAATATTACTTTTTGGGCACTTGAGCAACGCCTCTTCTCCCTCCAGATACATTATGAGTAACATGTTTCGTGTTGTGGTGCTGTTATAGGGACCCCTGCCCGGGCCCTTGTGAATCAGTCCTCCGAAACAATCGTTGCTCCGTGTGTGTGGCTGCTTTTGTTACCTCGATCTGCTGACAGGGTAGCGATGGTGGAATCGCTGATTCACGGTCTGCGTATTTGTGTTTCTGTTTGTTAGTGTTTTGCTGGCTGCGGTGAACAGGATTAGAAAGAGGATTGGAGATCAGCACGATATCAATAAATCGGAAACTTTTTTATATACGGTATAATATGTGGATAGTAGATATTTTTCTCTAGGGAGGACAGTCGTCTAGCATAGGCAAATATAAGAAATTACTACAGGGCAGCCTTTATTGCGCAGAAAATATCGAAAAGAAGGGTGAAAACAAGCTACCGTGTTTCTTCGGTCCATCGACGTCCATCGACGTACACGTAAATGTACTTGCAAACCGAAATTTGTACGTTGGAATTTTCAAGTTTATAAAAGGAGGATGATGTCCGTTTCTTAAGCTGGGGCTATAAGACATCCAAGTGGAATTCAGATACGACGAAGGCTAAGCGTAGATAAAATTTGTGGGGGGAGAACACGGTTGTGAGGTAGATAATAATAGCACAGGGGGAGAGGAGAATTGCTGCCGTAAGCTTGGTGGGAACTTAAATCCAGCAGGGCCGTGGAGTACTCTATCCTCATAAAATGGTAGGCCCAGTATGAACTCGTTTTCGTATAGAGGGAACTATACTTGTTGTAGCCATCCTCCTCAAATCCTTTTCGCGAAGGATTCCAAGATTGTGGGACGCTTCTTAATATTCGGGGAGGACTGGACATGATCACTCCAGGCAACAGAGTAGCAACAAGGTGAGTCGACTGGAAGGTAAGATAAGTGGATAAATTATTATCCACCGACTTGTTCGAAGATATACCTCCTGCACGCAGCCTTCAGCGCTTCAATCCTTTGCTGTGTGTGTATAAAAACTTCGCGATACATATGCAAGCTTTCATTCACCACTTCCGTCTTCGACTTTGTGCCAGCGCAAATTTCTCGCATCCGCAATTCCATCTCTTTTCGCAGAAATGGCTTGCTTAAGCTGGGACTATCCGGTAAGCCATTTACGACGTCGTCATAGCCTTTAACGAGAGCCACTCCAAGTTGCGTGGGAATAAATTCTTGCACAGTATTGTTACCTCTACCTCCGCCACTACGGGGTCGCGTTGCTACATATTCGCGCTCTTTTATTTTTGCAATATGCTCGGCCATCGTAGCATCAGTTCCAATACCATTAGCATCCATAAGTCCGATAAGTTCGGGCTCTGTTAGATAGCCAGGAGCAACAGTTTTTCCATCCGTGATTTTGGCTTCAGTGGGTTCGAAAACCTCCCCAACTGTGAAAATGGGCATTTCTTGGCTGCTTTCCCATTTATCATACACGTAAACATCCAAGTAATTTCTCTCCAGAACGAGAAGGCCGTGGGCGTGGAATATCTCGTCTCCATATTTTATTTCGATTTCCGTGGACTCGCCCTTCGCATCTTCGGAACAGCAAGCGAGGAAACGGCGACTCACAAATTCGTAAACACGACGTTCATCTTCGGATGATAAAGCCGCTGGCGCAGCGTATATGACTGGATGTATTGGAGGGTGAGCCTTGTCATTATGACGACCGGCTCGGGGTTGGGTGAAAGCACCATCCATGAGTCTAGGGGCGAAGTTAGAATTTTTTTTTTTTTTTTAGTTATATACACTTGAAACAATATATTAGGAAAGTCGACACTACGAACCGCTGCGCGTTCTGGCCCCAATTTTCACTTGGTATCTGCTTTTCAACAAGCTTTTTCAGATCAATTCCCTTATCAAATTGGTCTGTTTCCGTACGAGGATAGCTGATGAAGCCTTTCGTGTATAGCCCCTCTGCAATCTAGATCATATCAGCGAGATTTGGTAATATTGAGTAGAGTAAGACTAACCTTCATGACTTTCTGACTGTCCATCCGAAGATATTTACTTCCCATCATCTGGAGATCCACAGTCGTCAAAGGCAACGGGCGCCATTTGCGCGTTGGTTTCTTGATTACTTTCGTAACTTTGGCGGTTTTTGCGCTCAAGCACCGCTCAAACAAGACCACCGCGGCGGCTCTGTCAAAGACGTGGACTCTCCGCCACAAAAAGTTGACAGTTTTCCCGTCACGAAGATGGGAAACTTTGATAACCCAGAATGTCTCTGGTTTAAAATTCTTTACCCGGAAATACCTATCGACCACAAATCCCAACGTCGGGAACTGACAGGATCCTTGAAAACATCAACTTTTGTTTGTAATATGCAAGTTAGAGGGGTGATATAAATACCATAGCTGATAATTCGGTCCTCCAGTACACCCCCCAGTGATTTGAGTTGGAGTGTCTGTAGCCTGGTGAAAGCTGCCCCAATCCTCAAATCTAATTCAATTCGCGCAGCTACCGCATTTGCTTGGAACTCATCCAGTTCTATTGGATTTGTGGCAGCATGTAGAACATGACTAGAAGCTATCAACACTTGAGTCCGAAAAGGGTGACATTTGTTGGCTGACTAACGCTCGCTCTGTATTGCTAAACCTAGCCCGTTTTACCTCGATCTGTGGGTTTCCTTTTCTTGCCTGGTACCGTACTTCCGTCCCGATATGTTCTCCTTCACGGTCACAATCAGTCCAGATGAATAAAGCTTTCGAGTGTCTGGCCAACGTTTGAATGTTTTCGGCAATCTTTTGTTTGTCCTAGGGCGCACGTATTAATTGATGGTTGCAATATTGAGTTGATATTTTTTAAGAAACAAACTTTTGGAACTGACACCTGCACAGGGGCATCAAACAAGCGGCCAGGAGGACAAGAATTCCAGCCTCTGTATTGCGAGTCAAAATCCAGCCCTGTCAAGTGTCCAATAACGCTTGTCACAGTCACTGAACACCTCCCCCATGGCGGTGCAAAAGTGAAGTCAAACTCGTAGTT